CGCGCGTTTTGCAGCCGACTCCACTTGGATCTGGCGGACCCCCACCCCCCTCCTGCTGGCCCGGGGGATCCCGGCAGCGGCTGGCCGGAGCTGGGCTCCGCGGTCGCCTTCGGGAGGAAGAAGCCTTTGGCCAGGCCCCGCCGGGCGCCCGAAGAGCAAGGCGCGGTCCCAGGTGGCTGCGGAAGGCTCTCTGGACTGCCGAGCATGGGCAGGCTGCGTCTACTCGGGAGTCAAGCCCGCGGCCCTCCGCGGGACTAACTTCCGAGGGCGCCTGCGGGAGGCGCCGCCGTCCAGTTCGGGAACGGTTTGTTCGAATGACGTCCTTCAGAGTATCCGGAGGGTGCGAAAGGGAAGTTCCCCGCAAGGAGCTCCGTCTCCTCCAAAGACATTTTCTGATTTACAAAATGCACCCCAGACAGACCTCCGGCCCGCGCGAGACGGCCCTCCCTGGGGCTTGGACTCCGGCGCTCCAGGGCCCAACCCCGCCCTGCGAGCCACAGAGAAAGGGGGGTGGGGTGGGGGGGGTCTGTCATCCCGAAGTCGTTCTGCATCTCTGGCGTGCCACGTCCTAAGACGGGCTGAGGTTCAAGCGATATGCCTGCTGAGACCCTCAGCCCGCTGAAGCCCACCAGCGTTTTGCCCTCGAGATACCGCTGATCGCACCGGGGTTTTTTTGTGTTTTTTTTTGGGGGGGGGGGCTGTTACCAGCGTTACAAAGGAGATTCTGGGTTTTTTTTAAAAATGATGCCATTCACGCCGTCTTCCAGGGCCACCTGCACATGGACCCCCAGTCTCTTTCTCCCCCCCCCCGGAGTTCCCGGGGGGCCCGACGGGTCCTTTGCAAGGCAGACCCCCTCTCTCTGGCGTCCAGTCGGGGAAGCCGTGCGCCTTTCCGAAAGAGCGTCAGGGCGTCCTTCCGATTTCAGGAGCAGGTTGGCTCTCATACATGGCAGTCTATCGCATGCGTTTTGGGGGAGGCTCTCGGCTTCCGAAACACAACCGGACCTGAGCTCTGGGTCTCACGTCTCCTCTCCAACACGGCGCTGGTAAAGCAACAACACCGGGAGAAAAAACCTGCTCGGCAAAATCCGACTCTTCTCAAAAGGCCTTTCCGCCGCCGCCGGCCTCTTTCTCTTGAACTAACGGCCGGATTTCCAAGGCAGACGTCTGAAGCGCCGGCTGGGGAGACTGAGAAAGACACCAGCAAAGAAATGGCCGTATGCGCGTTCACGGGGAGAATAAACTGACATTTCATTGTGTAGAACACCCGATCAATTATTAATCGTTAGCGTCAACAATGGGGTTATAATTACTTTCGGTTACTTAAAGGCATATTTATTTATTTCCTCCCCCCTCTCGCCCCGTCTCCCCCGCTCTCTGATCTGGTAATTAGCTAATCCTCTTGTGTAATGGATTCCACGTGGATTCCCGCAGGCAGCCCTCCCCGGGCCCCTCCGTTCTCCGAGGCGCGGACCCGCTCCGGCTGGCTGCAGGGGGGGGGGCGCCCCTCTTCTTCAGCCCCGGCAAAGCGGGACGTCGCTCTGGGTCTCCCGGCTGCTCCCCCGAGTGAGCTGCGCGCAGCCAGGAAAGCGGCTCCCCTTGCCTCGCCCGTGGGAGAGCCGGAAGGTCCCCACAACTTTCTCCTTCTGGCGCCGGCCCTCCGCTGGGGGACCGCCGAGCAGCTGCGCGACGGGTGGGGCGCGGAGGCCACGTCTGTGATCGGCTGGTGGGCGGCGCCTGCCCGTTTGGCCGCGAAATGCAGCAGGGCTTTTGCGAATTCGCACCCAGAGGCCGCTGCGGGATTGGGGGGGGGGGACTGGCTCCGTGGAACGTCGCGGGGCAAAACTGAGAAGGAGCCGCGTGGTCGTCTGAAAGACCAACTCAAGAGACTGAAAAGCGGCTTGAATATTAATACGTGCGCGGAACCATTTCTTTCGTGCGCGGAACCATTTCTTTCTTTTTAAGGACTCGGTCAAGTATCAGCGTTTTGGATGTTGTTGTTGTTGTTTTAAAAAAAATTAACTTGCTCTCTTGGCGTTTTCACACATCCCTCAGCAGAACCCAGGGCAAAGATACCTATGGCTGGGACCGCAGGCTGTCTGCCAAGAGCGCCTCTCCACGTTTGAAACTTTTGTCCGACACATTCAGACGTGACACTGAGATGCTGCGCGCGCGCGCGCACACACACACATTTATTCCTGAGGGCTAATTTTCAAGGTTGTTAGGAGAAATAAGAGGATACTTTGGTAGTATCTTATGCATTCAAACGAATACTATACCGAGGACTAAAGCTCTCCACGTCTCTGTAGTACTATTAAAGCGGCTCAGTTGGGGGGGGGGGGAACCCGCCCCA